TCGGAATTTTTAGGCGAGTTTGTTCTCCTCATTATTGCGAAGTTAGCCTCCAAAATCATCTGTTCTTACTCCCAACTCGCAAGTCTCCAACATAATATAAATAAATTTATTCAACTCATTATATTATTTAATATTATATATGTTTAATATTATTATAGTATCCATTTATAATTTATTTATATAACAATATAAATACCTATACGCATACGTATCATATGCTTCAAATTCAATTTACTCCTGTGAATACAATTCAGAAATAACTATACGAGTCTGACAGTGAACGTAATTCATTATATGTATTCTAGATATCACTTGTTTCTCACGATCAAGTGTTTGAATCTCAGAATAATCGCCTGATTTTCATATTTTTCTCGCCATCTCACTGATCCACAAGCAAATGGCGCACACTTATGTATTTACTCTGTGGTTGTGTCTACTAGCAATACTGTATGTGATTGTACTGAAGTGGTTGTATTGAAGTGTATGAATTGTAAGTTTATGAATTCCAATTTTGTTGCTAAACGTACGTAGGAGACTTGCAAGTAAGACCAGTTGATTTTGGATGCTAACTTCGCAATAATGAGGAGAACAAATTCGTTTCACGATTCTGAGGGAGGTAAGAACCTGCAACTATGAATATTTATACAAAGAAAACATACTTCTACAGAAAAAAATTGTGTCAGAAATGTGTGGCTTAAATGTTTATAAATTGATTTGCAGAAGACAGTACTAATAACATCACAGACGAGATGCCACAACTCCATGCTGGTGAAATATGTGTCCTTCGTGGGGTTGAAGGCGAAACTAAAGCTGTCGGTGACGTTGGATTTTTCGTGACCGTTGTAGTGATGGCATGTATTTTGTGGCTTGCAATATGCTATATTATTCACACCTGTGTTGTTTTGAGAAAATAAAATGAATGTCAATTTTTTTTATTGATGCATTTTATTCAGTATTAACATTTAGATTTAATTTATATTTCATATATTTACGAATTAACCAAAATTTATTGCATAAGCTGACTCAAATTTATAATAAAACGACACCATGTGACTAGCATTAAGAATTAAACAAAACGCATGAAAATGGACCACTGAACAGCCACTAATTTATGTAAACAAGATTTTTTTTAAATAGAAAGGAACAAATAATAAAAAAACTTTCACTCACCAAACATGACCACACTTTCTTGTTATTCGATCTGTAGTACAGGTTACGTAGTTCACTGGCCGGTGGTGTATACGTCGTGTAGCTTAATAAATAGAAATATTAGTCACTATACAGGCTGAACAGTCTAAAATACGCTCGGAGCGGTGAACAAGGTGCAATTTCTATAGTCTTGCAGTTACTACAGATATAGAGCAATGCATAATTTGTTTCTTAAAATTTGGATGCAAATGAGTAGCAAAAAATATTTAAATTAATTACAAGTTTCAATTTATAATAGTAGTTATTTATTTAATAACAATAACAAAATATCAAATCATTGTATGTACTTCCATTATAGAACAATGTTTAGTTCACCTAGAAAGTGACTGAATGTTAATAATTTAGTTACTTTGATATTACTTTCATTTCTTTATTGTTGTTAATTGCTGATATATATATATATATATATATATATTAAAGCGTCAGTAACATACAAAACAACTGTTTTTATCTCCTCCCAACGTTTCATTGGGAAATCTGGCAATTATTAGTAAAGTGCACAAATTATTTTTCTCATTTTTATTTATAGGTATTCTCTTGAGAATTAAATTCTAAATAATTTTCACATTTCGCAAGGAACATTAATTACTACACATGGTTGACTGTCAAGTTCATTGCTTGTAGTCAGAGCTCACTTACATATCACAAAATTACTCATCAAAATTAGTTTCTTGACAACTAAACCAAAAACAAAAACGTGCTACTTACTGCAGTCAGAGCTCTTGGCATTGCAACGTTTGGAAATAAAGTTACAGTCTCTTCTGTCTGATTAATTCCATTTTAAATACATTTGAAAAATGAGCAGTTTTCACATTTAAATTCAAATCAATTTGACTCCAAGAACTTCAGAATTGTCCTATACATTTCTTATATCATTAAAAGCTTGGTAACCTACAGGATGCTTCTATAATGTAGGGTTATTACAGAAGATAAGTATTGTTTTCTATGTGGATTGCTGAAAGGCAATACTTTACGGCCCATAAGGGAGAAATACATTTTCTAGGTCATCCTGATTAATTTTCTCAACCTGGGATTCTTATCTGTTCCAGAAAGTTATGAATGAAGTTAAGTAAGTTGCATTGTCAGTCATAATGATTTTCAATACTTTCACACACTTAACACACATGATGAAATTTTTCTTATTACCAGCTCAGAATTTCCAAGATCCAATTAATTTTTTAAATTCAGACAGCCCATTAAGAGAAGCTGAAGTAGTTGCAATGGTATTTCTTAACTTAAGTCTCTTTTATATATGACAGTTAAATGTTTCATAGAGTAGATTCATTTTTTTGACAAAATACTGAAATACCTAGATAAAAAGCTTCCTCATATTCAAGTCCCTATATTGCTATAGGAACTGTATAGCTTTAAACCTGAAAAGTAGAACTCACATTCATTATTGACAACGGAGGTACTGAACAGTCTTCTTAGATAATTAAAGTGACAAATATAAATTTTCATACATAACATTGGTAAATGACATCCCAAGCTACACATTAATTATTTTCGTAGCGAATAATATTGAATATAAACAAAATAGTGTATACTGCATTCAGTTTTATATGAGAGTTATTTATAAAGAATAATTATTTCTTGTAAAGGTGTATTTCATTAATCACCAAATTCTCCATTTCACCAAGTTAAAACCATAGGCGCAAACACAATATGCTGCACATACTTCAGTTTTTCATAGTTTACTCTCAATAGTCAAAAGCATCTGGAGTTATAAGACTGGTTAATACTTTCTCAAACGTATTCATCTCACAAATAGGCTTGCGAAGCATTTTATATTTTGTGTACGCATTTTTGTATTTGAAATATGTTATCGATTATTAATGTGACAGTTTGCATTTCTCTTGCTTTCCTGGATTTCACATTTGTGTGTGATAAAAAAGGCTTCACATTTACAAGGCGTAGGTCGAAGACTATTTGCTCTTTATACAGAATGAGAAACAAACAAGAGTAATGTATGCAAATTCAATAGTACTCTGTCTACTATATGAAAATTAAACGCCCGTACATTCGTTTCGCTTATTACAACCGAAATTATAAGTTTAAAAATCATAGTTAACCAACGTTTGCTATGCTCTTAAGCTCTTTGTTATGAGCAGTATAAGCTATTGGAATTAGCTGCATTGTAATGTCCTAAAAAATGTACGTATTAATGTATCTTTAAATTCACTGACTAAGGGCAATACATTTTAATTATTTTGACGCCACAGTTTCTAAATTGGTTTTATACTCCTAAATGAAAACAGGTAAAATAAGTACAAAACTAAATAGTCTCATCATAAAGGCAAATAGACATATCAAGGTTCTATCGGAATACATAAATCCTACATAATTAGAAATTGTAATAACGAAAAGTGTTTTAACTCCTTCATTTCAACATTTATGGCGCCTCTGTTATGTGGAGGCGAAAGAAGATACTAATATGAGTCGAACACCATCAATAGAAATGAAACATTTGCGAAGGATGGTGAAGAGAACAATAAATGATCCTGGAAGAAATAGTTACAAGATAAGATCTTAGTATCACATTAAATGAATCGATAACGATGGACTGGAGTGTTTTGGACGCGGTATATGAATGGATATTGAGAAGGTATCCAAAGAAAGAATGTCAACAGCAAATTAGTAAAATATCGAAATGCCTCAGATCTGAGATAAATAAGGTAAGAGCATGAAGTCTGTAGAGGAAACCACGCCGGTGGTGGGGAAAAATTATCGACACACTTAGGTTCAGCGACATCTAGCGGTCATTGAAAGAAACATTTAAGGCATTTTCGGCTAATGGTCGCGAAACTGATGTGTCAAGTCAACGCGGCACACACTAAAGCAGGCCCAGCATTTGACCCACTTTCACTGCCCTCGGGAGCCGAGCCACCCAAGTGCAAATGCGGGGAGCGAGAAATGGTAGGGAGGAGACTCATTCAAGGCGTAAGGACCGCCGCTGAGATGGAGCAGTTCGAATCGTAGAGCGTAAACTGGAAGAACAACCGGCGAGAATATGAGGGACTGTTACATACAGTTCAAGAAGTATTGCTTTTTGTATTATATTGAAAATGTTTGTTGTGAAAAATGAATCTGAAATGAATTAAGTCATACATTCTGACCGGTCACGTATACATTAAATATTTCGCTTTTTACCCAAACCGAGATAAGAACTGACCACTGCAGTGATTGACATTGCAGGCACAGCGTTCCAGTGGTGTGACACTAGATAGGGCAAATCTGGTCCTTTTTCAAATTCCATACGGTAGCCAATCAGAGTTCAGAGCGACGCCATATCTGTACAACACTAACTCGCTCAGGCGGAGAAGAGGTGAACTACTTATTCATTTTGAAATATTTTTTCGCAAACGAGCCGGTTGGTTATCATTGGATTCCTTCCTCGTCGACCTATCGTTGTATATTCACGTGCTGTTCGTAGGGCTGTTAACGCCTTATCGCAGTCAGTGAATTAGAGAAATGAAGTGATTTACTGCTGTTTGAAGTCTGAAGCGTGCATTTTGGCTTCGAGAAGATGCTGGATGCCAAACAGTGAATTTTTTTGTTCATGTTCATGTTCATGTTCATGTTCAGTTGCAGATCCCTTGTTGGGACCAAGGGAGGTGACACCCACTATAGCAATGAGGGTAATTGGTAAGACTTTTTTAATAGAATATTATGAGAATATAGTTTTAATAGAACATATTTTTATAGTTTTAGTAGAATATATAGTTTGATGGGAGGCTATGTTACCAGCATTTTTTAATTTTCCTTAATATCCTCTTTTATTCCTAATTTAATAATATCCTTGTACACAGGCTGCTTTTCAAACTGAAAATGGTAAGTCTCATGTATGTTTGTAAAATGCAAAAAGAAGCATCCTATTAAAAGTTACATTATAATGTAATAATTTGTTGTTGATTAATACAGGTTCTAGTGCTGTTGAACATGCTGCTACAGCAAGTGCAGCAGATGCTTATTCTAGCCTTGTGAAAGGTAAGTATTTGCTATAATCTTTAAGAATCTCAATTATTACTTGGTTGCATTTATTGAAGATGGGAGAGGTTTCAAGTTTGTCTCCGTTTTCAGATCTTTTTCACTCATGTGAGCTGTCACCTCAAGTTTTTATGGACGTTTCTCATGGTATGTTCCTTCCAATACACAGTTATTAGTGCCAATTGAGGGTAAATTATAGTAAATAAAAAACTTTTTTGGTGATTACAGATCCTTGTACTTCTGAACAAGTGCAAAACGCCATTTTGGGAGATGAATCTGCGCCTTCGGTGTGTGGTAAGTGCAAGATATTCCTGTGCTTTCTAATTTCGTAATTCTAGATGGTGAATTAAAAGAAACATCTTTCTTTTTGATACAGATTTGTTTTCAGAACATTCATTTGAGGACATAGTATCTTTCTTAACGGCATTTTTTGGTTTTCAAATTCTCTTCCAGAGATGGCTTCTGAAGCATGCATATTAGACCCTAAGAGTTTGACCCTAAGCGGCTTTAAATTAATGTTCACTTTGAGGAGTCAGAACTCGGAGAGATAATTTTGAAGAATTATTGTTATGTGCAGTAAATGACTTGCTTCATTGTGCACAAAGTTTCTGAACATTTCTCTTTTACGCTGACAGTTTGTAATGGTACGAGCAACGAGAGTTTTAAAATCAGTGTGTATTCTGTCATTGGATACAGATCCATTATATAAACTGTATTTCTCACATCTGATTAGGAAAGTTCTAATCAAATAAAATTTAAAGATAAAATTAATTCTGTAAAGCATGATCATTTTCTCAATTTTGTAATGCCTCTTGCTATGTTAAGACATTTATTTGAATATTATGAATACACAAGTTTTGAGTTTCAGTTTCAGAGGCTATTTTCATGCAATTTTAGAATTTCTTTAATGCTTATTATCTAGTCTGTATTTTTTTCTTTCTTATTAGTATTAATATTTATTATTAGTATTGATATAAGTTGCTTATTTATTGTTATATTGTTCTGACAATAATTGTTTCTCATGACAAACACAATCTTGATTCAATTTAAATTCTATTATGTGTGTATCATTGTGTTTTGTTCATCCTCATGCCAATTACATTCTGGATTTGAATGCTGATCCTTATTAGATTGTGAATTGTTATGAGTCGTGAATGCAATGCTTGATTCTATAGCTCAGTTATTAGGACATCTGCCCAGTTATCAGAAGGTCCCAGGCTTGGCTCCTGGTGCAATCAAATATTTGCACTTTGACAATCCATTTTCAGAATTAAATTGTAGTGCATAAGCATTGATGGAATTTCACTATTTGTAAATCATTGTTTTAAAAGTGAATGTAGTTTCACAGTGGATCCCATTTTAAAAAAAGCCAGGCTCTGAACTGTGCATGTGTGAGATTAGCATGGGTAAATAAAATAATTTTGTCAAATATTTATTGACTAATGAAAAACATTGTTAGGTTGCAACTAGTAAAAGCTGTTCTTTCAAGGCATGCAGAGCATGCTAAATTCTCAATTTTTTGCACTACTGCTATAAGTGGAACAAAGCTCAAAAGTTCTTATGAAACTTTGAAAGCAACAAAAAAAAACAAAATAGTTCATGTGACCTAATCAGATACTACTGATCTTATTCTAACTGTACATAATTATGTAATTCGTGTTCTTAACGGTTTAAGTAATTGGCAAAATAAAATGGCACTTACCCCTTGTATCATAACTATTTTTTACCTGGGCAAATGTGCGGTAGTATTTTCATTGGTTTCTTTTTAATTCTGTTCTTATTGTTCATTTATAATGCTTGTAATAATGTAGTATTCCATAGTATTAATTTGGCATATCTAGAAGCAAATACTAAAGTTGCAGTCATGCAGGTGTAGTGTTTATTACTTTCTGTAATGCAAAATTGATTTACTAATGAAATTACGAAATTGTATAATATCAATATGCTCAATAAATACTAGATTTTACTACCCTAATTTGACTTTTTTCTTCCATAAAATCCTTATAATTATTATTGTGAATTTTTTAATAAATTAAGGCGTGGAAAGTATGGGAGTGAAATTTTAAAGTTCCCGCGTTGCTGGTTTATTTCAAATTTACCGGTTACTTTTTCGCCATTGGCTGCCCGTTTACAATAAACAATAAACAGAACAATTTGGCGGCACCGGACGTTGGGCAAATAAGGCTTTTCCTTATAAAATCGAGTGCCGTCTCTGAAATATACTCTTTGCAGTAACTAAAAGATCTGAATAGTACAGTCGAACGATATCTCGATTGACCTAGACCAGGCGCCCGAACGATGAACAAATGTTGAACGGCACTCGTTCTATGCGAGTCGGCGAGATCAAGACGCATACGGAATCAATTTTCATCTGTTATCAAACCCCATCGAAAAGGCTCATTTTATGAGGTAAATATTCGTTCTACAGTACTATTTCCTGTGATAAATTATTTGTGAAATTCTGATAAGAAAATCTATGAAATTTGTAATGTGACAAGTGCAAGCACATGCAAGGCCCACACGCTCGTGCTTCAATTTCTCTTTCACATCTTATGTACATTTATATCTTGTATCCTGAATTACATTCCATAGTTTCAACAACCAACTTAAATGGTAAAGGAAATGGTATTTATTTTGAAGCCACATTGGAGCTAATGTATGACGTGTTCGGACACATACGTGTATGGGACGACATGTGATAAGACATGCATTTCTGCGTATCGCTGGGTTTCTGATCTGCATATTCCGGTGAGAGCCACGAAAGCGGAATTACCCCGCGACGACGGAATTGGAAAGAACGACGCCAGAAAGACGTGAAATTGAAGACGAGGTGCGGCTCACGGACTGGAAGAATTCTTCACAGAAGTCATTCGCCCCTGGGATTCACACAAAGTAAGGCCCTACGTTCTTCCTAAATTTTGTAAAGTACTGAGGTATTTTCCACGCGCCAGTGCCCCCTGCACGTGCCGAGCCCTCGGGACAGATAGCATCGCAATTTGTTTCCTCTGTAGTGTGATCGCTTCAAATTTATTTCCGAATAGTCAGAGGGGGGCATCCAGCTACCCCCGACCGACACTCGGTCAAGGTTGCAGAGCGCAGCTTATAGAATCGTAGGGGAAAGTAGAGCAGTACAACGAAGGTTAGCTCAGCTTTCGAAGGCAAAATGTAGTATATTTCCGAAGGAGAAACTTATTATGCTAGATTAAGAGAATAACATTGAATTAATCTATCATGTCGTTAATGCTCAAATACTGTGTAAATGATTTCATTCTTAAAGGGAAAACGTCCAATGTCTCTGTAAATTCATAATGATGAACATCAGAGTATGTATACTTGTGTATATTTTTCCTCTTTTTATTGAACCTCAGAGAAGCAATGATTATGCACTATTTCAATAATATTAGAATTTATCAAACAATAGTGTAATTTAATACATGGCAAATAACTGAAGTTTATCAGGAGTAAATTTCGAATATTTCACAAGACAAATTTTATGAAAAAGTCTAGATAGCACTTGAAAGAAGGATTCTTAAGGATCCTTCCTAAATTGTGTGTATAAGAGTGTGTATTTAAAAGGCTGTTACATTTTGTTGTGCACCAGTTCATGTATATACATGTCTTTGCTAATTTTTTGAATGACTTTGTTTTTTAAGTGTATTCAAGTTAGTACTATTATATTGTGACTGCGAATATTTCATTCGTGTTCAGGTATTTCAATTTGTCTTTCTCTCCTATATCCCTGAGATTATTCTTTTTAAATTTGTTACTTTTTTAGGCAGTATGTTTATGGTGAGTGTAATAAAATAATTTTTCATTAACTATGTTTAATTGAATACGAAGGTTCTATCAAAGCAAAGCGTCCTGCTTAGACATGGTTTTATTTTTGATAGTCCTTTCACCTCTCATCATTATCTTATCTCAGTATTCATAATTCAAGGCGTAACAACCTTACTTTATCAAGGGATAGAGCCGTAAATGGCTGACAGCCTTAGTTCCAAACGTCTGTCTCTCCGGGACCTCGGAAGAAAATGTTTAGCGTGGTAAAAGAAATAACCGATACTATAATTATTATTATTATTATTAATAAATTATTAGTATTAATATATTATTAATATATTATGATTATTATTATTTATATATTATTATAAGTATATGTCATACGGAAACTCCAGATTAGTTTTATATATTTATGGCTATAATTGAACTTTCCACCAACTCAGGCGACAGAATTTACGGATTATGTTTTGTTGTTACCAATAATACAACTTTCTGAATGGTACGCAAATTATTCCTTTTAAGTTCTAATTTTTATGCGGTTTCTTGCCATTCCTCGACGAGTTAATTCGCTGACACCATCATTGAAACTTTTCACTGCGTGCAATCACGCCCTTTAAGAGCCAGTTTTTGGTATTTCCAATTCTCAGAAAAAATTGTTTCAAGCCCCACATCTGGGGAGACCGCACCATCAATGATGTATATCAATGATATATTTGGCAATGACAACGTCTTTAATTATTTTATGAAAAATGCCAAAGATATCACACCACAACACCTATAATCATGTATGCTTTAGATATTTTATTTTATAGAACAATACCGGGTCTATTTGCTTCCATTGTGTAGTCGGTAATGATTACACAACCCCACAGGATTGGGGCTCGATAATTACTCTTTCTCTGGTTTACAGTAATTTGATAATAAGGTTGCTCACTCTCTAGGACAGGCATATCAAGGCAGCAGGCAATGTAACTTTCTAAGACTTCGTGGGGACTGCGATTAGGAAAACTAGCCCAAGATTAAGAAACGGGGGTTTGTACCAATTGCTTTGTGGCGGTGCATTCTTGGATACCAGGACTATTGCAAACTTTCCATTGCAGATTGAAAAATTCCATACTACATTCCAATATCGTCCGTCACGTAACAATAGGTTCCCCTTTTTTGTCTCGAAAGGAGTTTATCATTCTAACATGGAGATACTCACGAAAACTATCAATTTTCAACATATCTTGTACGTGACTAGGAAACTTAAAAACTATGAATGAAGCAACGAATCGAAGGCTTTTTTGTAATTTATCCAGCCTACAGAAAGATTGCTCTTGTATTTTCGTACTTGAGGTGTAGTTACATCACCAATTACTGATACTTCTCTGCACACCCTATTTCCTTTGAGATAGCCATTTTCCTCAACTGTCAAAATGTGCTGATTGACTAAATGACCACACATTCTTGAAGAAATTATTGAAGTCCAAATCATACATAGTTTTCTGTCATTCTTCAGCTTCCAAAAAATGTCTTCTAGGCAAAAGCAAAGGCTGACTGCTGTTGATGTCTCTTTATTGCTTCATAATAACGGCGAATTCTCGCCAACTGCAGCTATGCGCTGGTTCAGAAATTTTCCTCACCGTTCATCCTCGTATTGAAATATTTAGGTTCATTCGTAACTTCATTATTTTGGAAATTGATCTTACCCTACTTTCTAAGATACATTTTCATTCCCTGCCATTCGGCTAGCAGATAGATAATTTCCCTTCTGAATTCGTTAATTTTGAAATAAAAATTTCTTCCTAGTTGGTATAAATTATTTTTTAGATCTGACGTCT